CTAACTAAAGTAAATAGTAGTAATGAATGCTATAAATAAAAGAAAGAAATCTTTACACATCTACTCGCCGTCTTCCTACGGGACGGGCTCGAAAACCAAATCCTCCTGATCTAAAATGGTTAAGTAAGGAATGAGCTACAGTACCCCAGTAAAGACATCACACTATTTCACTATCACAGAAATAAAGGTTGGTAGAAAACAAAAACGACCAATGCAGCACAATTTATAACAAACTCATTTATCAATAATAAAACTTTTTACTGTCCACTTACCTCGGTGAGATCTATGAAAATAACTTATGAAAAACAGCAACATTATAAACATCATGAAATCATACACACTCTGAAACATAACGCATGTCATACTTTTAATATTTCAATCATCAAGCAATGATTTTTTCTCTTTTATCAGCCTACCAGTATCCGTGAGAACCCATAGTGGACTCCGCTACACGTGAACCATTCACCTTAATAACTTAATTCCAGAGTCGTCCCCATACCCCGTCCGGTATGGGGGCCAAAACTATAAACCTCAATACCCCGTCCGGTATGAGGATGAAACTGGCCGTCCCCATATCCCGTCTAGTATGCACACCAAAACACATAAAGTCTCTATACCCCGTCCGATATGAGAGACCACGTTCCCGGTAGGGTTCCTTATAGATCGGGTCCGTCCACCGTCTCCCAGGATATCTAGTGAGGCTGTCAAGTTATCTATTTATCAATTCACATAACTTTTCTATTTTTCTTAATCTCGATTACCCAATCAAACATGAATACGTAAACCAGTAACGAACACCAAACAAGACAATACAACATCGGGTTCACAATAATTCAAACCATAATAAATTAAACAATGATTTATGCATACGAAACCATAGAATAAAAACATCAGATACCATAATGCATTTAAACTGTAAAACAACTAAAACAGCAACTGACCGAAATTATATCAGATTCGGACTCCATTAGCAACCTTAATTAACTATACATATCTATTAATTCATAAAATACCGTTTTATCATTTATTAAACTTTAATGCTGTGATAGGAAATAGGATGAGAGATTCTTACTTGTTTCGGAGTCTGAAATCGGGTTCTCACTGTGCCTACGGACCCATCAAATGGGCTGAGATACCTGCACTTTTCCTACTGAGAGCATCTGCTATCACGTTACCCTTACCCGGATAGTACAAGATATCACAATCATAGTCTTTAAGGAGTTCCATCCACCTTCTCTGACGCATGTTAAGATCCTTCTGAGTGAATATGTGTTTCAAACTCTTCTGATCGGTATAAATCTGAAAGGTCTCTCCGTATAAATAATGGCGCCAGGTTTTTAAGGCGTGTATGATTGCGGCAAGCTCCAAGTCATGGGTGGGGTAATTCTTCTCATGATTCTTTAACTGTCTAGACCTATAAATTATGACCTTCTCATGTTGCATTAGAACACAACCCAAGCCTAGATAGGAGGCATCACTATAAACTGTATATCCCTCCGATCCACTCGGTAAAGCCAATACGGGTGCAGTAGTCAGCCGCTTCTTTAATTCTGAAAAACTTCTTTCACAGTACTCATTTCATTCAAACTTGGCATTTTTCTTTATGAGTCGGGTTAGGGGAACTGTTAGACTAGAGAATCCTTCGACGAACCTGCAGTAATAACCTGCCATTCCCAGGAAGTTACAGATTTCCTTAACTGATGTCAGCTTCTCCCAGCCAAGTATCGCTTCAACCTTTTCAGGATTTACTGATATCCCTTCCTTTGATATGGTGTGTCCTAGGAAGGCGGTTTGCTCAAGCCAGAATCCACACTTACCCAACTTCGCATATAACCTCTTATTTCTAAGGACCTGCAAAACTTGGGCAAGATGCTGAGCATGTTCTTCTTTGCTTTTTGAGTAGACTAAGATATCATCGATGAACATGATGACAAATTGATCCAAGAACTCTCTGAAGACCCTATTCATCAGATCCATAAAGATTGTCGGGGCATTGGTTAGCCCAAATGGCATGACCAGGAACTCATAGTGTCCGTACTTGGTTCGGAAGGCCGTCTTGGGGATGTCTTCTATTCTTATCTTCACCCGATGGTAATCTGATCGTAGGTCTATTTTAGAGAAGACCTGTGCACCCTGCAGCTGATCAAAGAGATCATCAATCCGGGGAAGGGGATACTTGTTTTTGACCGTAACCTTGTTCAATCCTCTGTAATCAATGCACAGTCTCAACGTTCCATCTCCCTTCCTTGCAAAAGTGACTCCAGCACCCCAAAGGGACACACTGTGTCTAATAAAACCACTATCTTGCAATTCGGTGATCTGTTTCCTCAGCTCTTCCATCTCAATACGGCTCATGCGGTAAGGAGCAACTGAAATGGGCTGGGTACCTGGCTGTAGGTCTATAGTGAACTCGATTTCTCTGTCCACTGGTAGACTGGGTAGTTCGTCCGGAAACACATCTGGGAAGTCTAGGACTACCGGAATCTCTTGAATACAAATTTCCTTCTTGGACTTACCTAGTCAGAGAAAACAGCAAGATTAAGGCACTAGAAGTTAAGAAAACTTGCCATCAAAGAATACGTACTGAATAATTTTATTAATTTGTAAATGGCTCCTCGTTAGGAGGATTAAATACAACTTTCTTGTTAAAGCAATCTATAGTGGTGTGATATGCCGCTAGCCAATCCATTCCTAAGATTTCATCAAAATTCCCCGTGTCTAACCTTATCAGGTCTACCCTCAGTTTCTTATTTGCTATCTCCACGGCACAAGCCCTATAGATAGCTTCCCCTAGTAGTGTTTCACCCCCAGCAGTAGACACAAACAACAATGATTCAAGTTTATCAGGTGATACATTAATTTTGGAAGCAAAAGCATGTGAAACAAAGGAGTGCGATGCACCAGTGTCAAATAAAACATGAGCAATATGGTCACAGATAGTATACATACCCTGTACTACATCCGAGTCAGCGTCGACATCGTGCTGGGTAAGGTTGTAAGCTCTGCCCTAGATAGGAGGCCTCCCTTGATTCTGGTTCCTCAGGCATTCTCTGGCATAATGCTGGGCACTGCCACAAATACGACAAGTGTTGTTGGGGCGGTAGCAGGGTCGGTCCCCGTGATCTCTGCCGCAGTGTTGACAGATTTTCCCACGTGCTGCCCCTGGAGCCTGAGGAGGGGCCTAGATGGCTGGTCTGGGCCTCTTATTTGGTTGGGCAGGCGCAGTAGGTGCTGGCCTACGGAACAGAGCTGAGGGTCGGGAACTCCCTCCTGGCTGAGGACGGGTGCTGAAGCTTCTTTCCACAATCTGTGCCTTTGCTAGGACTGCTGAATATGTCTTGAGCTCTAGTACTAACAAGTGTTGTCTGATCTCTAGGCGGAGACCTAACTGGAATCTCCTGGGCTTTCGGCCCTCATCCATCAATGTCTCTGGGGAGTATCGGCCCAGCTCGAGGAACTTACGAGCATACTCTGATACTGTCATGTTTCCCTGAACCAGTTGAACAAACTCCGTTTCCTTTAGGTGTCGGAGGTGCTCAGGGAGATACTCTGCATGGAAGGCCGCTAAGAACTGCTCCCAAGTGACTGGTGTAGGTAGGGTGGTCTGCTTGAGCTCCCACCAACGACCTGCTTCCCCTACCAGCATGTAGGAAGCAAGGGCAACCCTCTGCTCGGGAACCACTCCCAAGATCTTGAAAGTCTTCTCAGTCTCCGCCAACCAGTACTGGGCATCTTCGATAGAGGACTCCCCTGCAAAAGTAGAAGGGTTCAATCTCTTGTACCTCTCTACGTAGCCCGGGTCAATCAAGGAGGGAGCTGGGTCCCGTGGGAGAGGGACTGGGCCCGGCTGGGGATAGACTGGGGGGCCCTGTGGTGGCACTTGCTGATATAGTGGGGGCACTGAATTGTACTGTGGCGGTGCAGGGCAGTACTGTGGCTGAGGCACCGAATTATACTGCGGCGGTGGTACCGGGTGGTACTGTGGAGGAGCAGGCTCGTGCCGGGGTGGCTCGGGATCCGCTTGCTGTAGCGATGGCTCAACCTGTGGTACTGGGGGAGAGTCGGGTAACTCCCTTCTCTCCTCTCGACCTTGCTGGGCAGCAATGATCCTTTCTAGCATCTTAAATATTCTATCTACATCTTTCCGAAGCGAATCATCTCGGGCTGCTTGGTCTAGTGGGGGTCTTCCTCTCCTCATTTCTCTGCACCTGCATTTTACAACGAATGGTTGAGTAACGATTTATCAGTTGGTATTTCTCTAAGTATTATTGTGTAAGGACGAGTTCGAGGAACGCGACTCTGATACCAACTGTAACGGCCCAGAAATTAAGAAAATGTATGTATATAAAAAATTCTAAGTGCGGAGCGAAATAAAAATTTGATTATATCCGTACACATACCAAACGTATAACGTATGAAAAAATAA